GGGATGGTGGCAGGAGATGCTGGCAGGGGATGCGTGCAGGCGGTGCTTGCAGGAGATGCCAGCAGGGGACGCTCTCAGGGGACGCTCTCAGGGGATGCTCGCAAGGGATGCTTGCAGGGGGTGCTCACAGGGGATGCTGGCAGTGGGTGCTCGCAGGGGGTGCTTGCAGGGCATGCCTGCAGGGGATGCTTGCAGGGGGAGCTCACAGGGGATCCTTGCAGGGGGTGCTTGCAGTGCATGCATGCAGGGGATGCTCACAGGGGATGCTTGCAAGGGATACATGCATGGGATGCTGGCAGGAGATGTGTGCAGGGGATGTTCACAGAGGATGCTCACCAGGGATACTTGCAGGGGATGCTGGCAGGGGGTGCTTGCAGGAGATGAGTGCAGGGGATGCTCGCAAGGGATGCTCACAGGGTATACTTGCAGGGGATGTGTGCAGGGGTGCTCACAGGGGATGCTCACAGAGGATGCTCGCAGGGGATACTTGCAGGGGATGCTGGCAGGAGACGCATGCAGGGGATGCTCACAGGGGATGCTCGCAGGGGGTGCTGGCAAGGGGTGCTTGCAGGAGATGAGTGCAGGGGATGAATGCAGAGGATGCTCACAGAGGATGCTCACAGGGGATATTTGTAGGAGATGCATGCAGGGGGTGCTTGCAGGGGGCACTTGCAGGAGATAAGTGCAGGGGATGCTCGCAGGGGATGCTCATAGGGGATGCTCGCAGGGGATGCATGCAGGAGATGAGTACAGGAGAGACTCACAGAGGATGCTCGCAGGGGATGTTCTCAGGAGATGCTTGCAGGGGATGCTGGCAGAGGATGTGTGCAGGGGATGCTGGCAGGAGACGCATGCAGGGGGTGCTCGCAGGAGATGCTCACAGGGGGTGCTTGCAGGGGATGCATGTAGGGGATGCTGGCAGGAGACACATGCAGGGGATGCTGGCAGGGGATGAGTGCAGGAGAGATGCTGGCAGGAGAGATGCTGGCAGGAGATGCTCACAGGGGATGCTGGCAGGGGATGCTGGCAGGGTCCGTGCCCTCCCGTATCCCATGCTGGGATGCAGCCGGGCAAGAAGCAGGGTGAAGGGGTTGGGACCGGCTGTCCCTGATGGAGATGCCCAGATCCAGCAGTGGGATGGGACCACAGAGGCTGCTCTTTGGCAGCCCAGGGTGAAGGTAAGTGGGCTACAAGGTCTTGGGGCTCTTGGGAATCTTGTTTTCTGGGCTGGGGAGGAGGAAACACCCTCCTGGAGCTGGGGGTGGCTGGAAAGCAGACCTGGCTGGGGCTAGAAGACCCCCAGGGCCACCTCTGACCTGCTGGTAGAAGTAGAGCAAGGTGGTCTTGTCTTCTTTGAAGCGCTCCATGAAATCCTCCGGCAGATAGCGGATTTGGAGATCGTACCTGGCAACAGAAGAGTCCTTTGATGAGGACCACGCTCGAGGAGCTTTCCCTAGAATGGGGCTCGGTGGTCTCCATGTCCCTGCCCTGGGTGGGTTTGGGGACATGGAAAGGGACACCACCACCATGGGGTCCTACCTCCACTCGGCCTCGAGGTGCAGGCACTCGTACTTCTCCTGCACTTCGCCCACCGTGAGGTCCGGGTGCAGCCAGTGGATCTCATCCGACTTCACGTGCTTCAGGCGGAGCCCGTAGCACTCGGCCAGCTTGATGTCGGGCCCGATGCGACCACTCACCAGGATGGACCTGATCACCTCCTGGGGTGGGAAAGGGCAGGGTTGAGACCCGAGCATCCCCAGCCAGGCTCCAGATGAGCTTCAGATAGGAGGAAAATGAGGAAGAAATACAGCACAACCACAACACAAATGTCCTTGGAGCGAAAACACAGCCCCACACCCAGCCACCAGCCCCAGCGGTCTCCACGTGAAGCCTCCAAAGATGCCTCCAGCTTGCTCTACAACAACCCACAGCCTGAATATGTCTTATCCAACCTTCCAGAGGTGTTTCAGTTGGGGATAAAAAGCCCAGGTGGGTTATTTCCACCCTTCCTTACACCTCAGTTGAGCTGCACCTGAACACAGCTTTGGTTGCGAGCAGGTAGCAAAGCAAGCATCGATGTTGCTGGTGAGCTTGCGGTGCAGGTTCTTTCTGCTGCCCCAGAACTGGGGCAGTGTGGGCAGGGGGCCCTCAGGACCCTGCCAGGCCTCTGGTTTCACTCTGGTAGCTAAAAAGCCAACGGAAAGCTGATGGTTGTTCACACAACCAGTGGGCAAGGTGTCCCCGAGGAGCGACCGCCTCCGGCTTGCTCCGCTCCTGCGTCCTGCTGGCTGCGCTCCCACCGCGGCGCTGGGGACAGCCGGACCGTTGCCATTTCATGGTTTCACTTGCATTTTTCCACCCCAAACATCTCCTTCCCAGCCTGACGAGTCCTCTCCTGCTCTGCCCACTCCTCGGAAACTTTCTGCTATGCCACAACCTGCTCCTGGAGATGGGAGGAGGGGGACAGCCCTGTCCTCCTCCACGTCCCACCAGCTGAGGAACAACCCCCAGCTCAGCTGTACTTTGGTCACCTCCCTGTGACTTCATGGCAATGCGCTGTCCTGAAGACTTGGCCCAGGAGAAGGCATAGCTGTGTCCAGTTCTGGGCTCCCAAGTTCAAGAAAGATGAGGAGCTACTGGAGAGAGTCCAGCGGAGGGCTGCGAGGATGATGAGGGGACTGGAACATCTCCCCTACGAGGAGAGGCTGAGGGAGCTGGGCTTGTTCAGCCTGAAGAAGAGAAGGCTGCGAGGGGACCTAATAAATGCTTATAAATATCTGAAGGGTGGGTGTCAGGAGGATGGGGCCAAGCTCTTTTCAGTGGTGCCCAGTGACAGGACAAGGGGCAATGGGCACAAACTGAAGCATAGGAAGTTCCATCTGAACATGAGGAAGAACTTCTTCCCTCTGAGGGTGACGGAGCACTGGAACAGGCTGCCCAGGGAGGTTGTGGAGTCTCCTTCTCTGGAGATATTCAAGACCCACCTGGACAAGGTCCTGTGCAGCTTGCTGTAGGTGACCCTGCTTCAGGAGGAGGGTTGGACTTGATGACCCACAGAGGTCCCTTCCAACTCCGAACATTCCGTGATGCTGTTTTTCTGGTGGCTTTCATCTCTGATGCTGTGGGTGTGGGGAGGTTGTGGAGTCTGCTTCTCTGGAGATATTCAAGAACCGCTTGGACAAGGTCCTGTGCAGCCTGCTGTAGGTGACCCTGCCTCGGCAGGAGAGTTGGGCTGGGTGACCCACAGAGGTCCCTTCCAACCCCTACTATTCTGTGATTCTGTGATAGCATCACCCATTGCGCCTAGGGCGTGTATCCCTCATGGTGGACACCAACCCTGCAGCACCCAAGCACAGAGCCTGTGCTGGCTGGTAGGTCCCCAGCACCCACACATCTTCCCCCGGCTGGGAAGCCACAAGACTCCGGGTAGGAAGGGTGAGGAGCACGTTTCCAGCCCAAAGCCACCATGTCCATGATGGAAAGGCACCAATATCACCTTTGCTGTCCTCCCAGCCCCATGTCCCCGCAAGCAAAGGGCAGAAGCTGGGTACAGAGGTTGAGTGCAGAAGTCTCAGTGGGGTGGGAGGAGGGACCTGGGTGCTGGCTTGCAGCACGAGCAGGAGAGCAAGAGGTGCTGCTGGCCCTGCAGCTGGGTGCACCCCTGGGGTCCCCAGCAGGCAGTGGCACCATGACGTGGCCATGAGGAAGTGCTGAGGGTTTGGGGCTATGAAGGTCACTGTTGCCCTCACCACTGAGGACCTGTGTCCTTGCAGGTCAGTGAGGATGGAGGAAAGGTGGGGACCCAGCTCCTGCGGGTCCCCAGCCTCCTCCCGGCAGCATGAGCTGAGCCCCAGCCCTGCAAGGTACGTCATGTCCCAAATCCACTTCTCTTCTGGCCTCCTCCCATCGCTCCCTGCAGCGCTGTGCTCAGGGATGTCTTCTCCAGGGCCAGACAAACCATGGCCTGGAAACTCCTCTTTGCTGCCCACGAAGGGGACCAGCAGCAACTCGCTAGGGCCAATCCACGCTGCAGGAACCGGCAGCGGGGCCAAGAAGCCCTTGCCCTCTCCAAGTCTCCCCTGGGCCACCAGAGATGGCGACTTTTTCTACCTTCTCTCCAGATTTTGGTGCTTCAGAGCCACAAGACTCTGAAGGGGCTACCATGCCATGGGAAGGGGCGTCTGGAAGGGAGCTAGCTTTGATGCCATGTGGACAAAACAGCCCCCCCCTCCCCTGCCCCATCCACCGCCCCTGCCCACATACCCGGATCTCCGGTGTCACGGGGGA